CAGCCTTGTGAGTAGCTGGGACTACAGGTGCATGCCACCACATCTGGCTAATTTTTTCATTTTTAGCTTTTATAGAGACAGGGTCTCACTATGTTGCCCAGGCTGGTCTCAAACTCCTGGTTTCATGCAATCCTCCTGCCTCAGCCCCTCAAAGTGCTGGAATTATAGGTGTGAGCCACCAAGCTTGGCCAAATTTGTGTTGTTTTAAGCAATCCAATTTGTGGTCCTTGGTTACAGCGGCCCTAAGAAACTAAAATACTTGCTAAAACTGAAGAAGCTGAAAATTTAAACTCAATATAACCAGAATTTATGAAATTACTTTTTTATAATAGTGAGGAAAAAAGTATCTTGCTGAACTATTTTTAAAAGTGCATATGCCGTTTTTAGTTGAAGTAAACCTTTTTATTCTTAAGTATTGACATAAATATAACACTTTTGTTCCTCAGACACAGCAACTAGCAGAATGCCTTAAACATAAATCATTCCACAGTATATTTTGTGGCTTCATTTAAAAAGATTAAAAATGAAAATAGCCCATAAATACTAAAATACTCTCTTATAGAATATGAGCCATAAAATACATACGGAACTACTGAAACGTGAGAGTAATCATTGAAAAGAATTTGCATGAGGTTCATCAAGGCAAAATTTCATCTTGAATGTATATATGAATAATAAAGAAACTATATGCCCTGCAGTTTGTGGATTATTCAGATTTTATATTTTCTGTTGCCTTATTTTGGCTTTGAAAAAAATACTCTTAGCACTAATACTACGTGATGTGCAGGGCCAAATAAAAGAACATGCATTTTAGTTTTTGGCATTAACTTGCTAACAGACCTTATTACATAGATTTGGTAAGGATGAAAATTAAAAATATAATGAAAACCAAATTTGGGGCTGGGTGTAGTGACTCATGCCTGTAATCCCAGCACTTTGGGAGGCCAAGGTGGGTGGATCACTTGAGGCCAGGAGTTTGAGACCAGCCTGGCTGATATGGCAAAACCCTGTCTCTACTAAAAAAAAACCCACAAAAATTAGCCAGGCGTGGTGACGCATGCCTGTAGTCACAGCTATTTGGGAGGCTGAGGCAGGAGAATAGCTTGAACCCGGGAGGCGGAGGTTGCAGTGAGCCAAGATCGTGCCACTGCACTCCAGCCTGGGCGACAGAGCAAGATTCTGTCTCAAAAAAAAAAAAAAAAAAAAAAAAAAAAAAAATTTGGTGGTATCATTTGTAAATTCTTTGATTTTTGTTTCCCCTGAATACCCGAGTTGACTATTGTTTTGTTATCACAAGAGTGTGTCACAAGAGTGATGACATTTGCTGGAAAGACATTAGTGGATACCTGCAAAGGATCTGGAAGCAGGCAGCTCTCAGAGCAGGCACTACGGCAGCACGCTCCCAACCAGAGGGGAAAGTCTCCTGGCATCAAGTGTCCTGGAAGGCCACCAGGCACTAGCTGAATTGCTGTGCATCTTGTCAGGTCCATTGAGGAGCAGCACCTTTCCATTCTTCAAGGTCTTCACAAGCCTCCAGCCCTCAGGATTGTTCTGGACATTTTGGTTTTTGCCTATTATACCTGGTAGAAATAGCTAATATAATACAACCCCCCACCCCAGATCATTTGAGATGGAAGGATGAATTCCACAGATGGCATGAACTGAAGTTTAAATTCCCAGGTGTAGTACTCCTTAGCAGGACCAAGCCTCAAAACTGCCTGAGATCCATTCCTACAGATATATAACTAGGACTACAAAATAAAAAGATAACTAAGATTGATAAAACATAGACAAACTATGATATACTGACTACAATATTCTAGTTTCCGTGCTAAGCACTCTGCATATAATATCACTTGATATTTCTTTTCAATTTAATTTTGATATATTTTATAAACATCAGAACAATTGAGTGGTGAGTAGTTGGGAGTTGGTTTTTAAAAATTATTTTCCTTTAAAAGGAATATACTCTTTGGTATGTATATATCAATATTACAAAATAAAAACAATATTACAAAAAAGTTAAATAATATGGTAAGGCTAATACTTAAAACAAGTATTTTGTTTCATCTCGTCTTACTAATTACAATTATTTACTCCTTACTTATTCCCTCTCATTGCCTGGTATTTTAAATCTTTTTAGTTATTTCTTCTAGTATTTTCTTTCTTATTTCTAAATAACATACATATATAGATACTTCCTGATTTTTCAGTCTTTTTGTCCATTGACTTCCTTTTTTTTTTTGTCTATTGACTTCCTTCTATGGAAGATGAGGATTTACCCTCCTATACCTCCTCTTCCTGCATTCTTGCATACATTTCAGTTCCTCCTATCCTTCTGATATATTTATATCATAATTTTTGGTTAAATTAATATCTAGGGCTAATATTATTTTGATTATATAAGTATTATTTATAGCTAAGTCACAGAGTACATCATGATTCTATTTCTTCTCTTGTATAACCCATTGTTTCCACTAGTTAATAAATACATTTTTTTTATTTGCTTGGTTTTGTGTGCTTTTATTAGTCATTCATACCATGGTTCTCTAATGTAAGTAAAAATGGCCTTTGAACATGTTTAAATGTTCTATCTGTTGCATATTTATCTTGAGAAATTTCATCTGAAGTCTTCAGTTCTCCTCCTGCTACCCCAAGTTAGTTGTTCTGTAAGTTTGACATATAGCTACTACCTGTAGATCCGTTCACCGCGATCTTCAGATGTTTTTATTGGTTTCCCTGTGTTCCTAAATCCTTTGTCTTTCTCTTGCTATACTCCCTCTTTTTGGTAGATCACATTCTCCAGGGTTTTCCTGAGAAAGGTAAGTAACTTAGGGCCTCACTTCTATGAAAATGTTGAGATTCTACCCTTACAATTCAATGACAATTTTTCTAAGTTTAGATTTTTTTTTTTTGTCTAATTTTTCCTCAAAAACTCTGAAGGCATTTCTCCATTGCCTTTCAGCTATAATGGTGCTGTTGAGCAGCTGCACGCTACTCTAGTCCTCATTATGTTGTCTGTGTCCCCCACCCCCCAACACCCTAGAAGTTTTTAGGCTTATCTCTTTATCCTGGTGTTCATGATATGCTCTGGTCAGGCAAATCCTCTGAGAGGATTTGTATTTGCTTGTACCAAATGCTTGGGGAGTATTGCCAGTCTGGGATTAAACTGAATTAAATTCTTGGCTAGAGGTTTATCAGACCATTTAGATAGTCTGATTTTGGACCACAAACTTGTGTGAGGCTGCCTCATGGTTCCAAATTCTCAGTGGCAATTTCTCTCTTCTCCACTCTTGCCAAAATTTGAAATGGTCAATTTTTCTTGTGGCCCATTAGAAGTACTATGGAGGCTTATTTCTAATTTACCCTTACACTGGAGGTATCATTCTTTGGAATCCCAGAATTCTGGTAGAAGGAGAATTTATTAGATTTCCCAACTTGCGGTAGCCCTGGGCTTGGCTCTCTGGCTCCGTTCCTCAAAATGCCCACACTCAGCTGGTTTGACAAACACTCTCAGGATAACAGTGGTGCACTTGCCTTTCTAGATTTCTTCACTCGATAGCTGGCTGGCGTGGATTTTCTTTTTTGTCTGATAACTTTAAGATGATTTTTAAAAAATTACATATATTTTTTCTTCCTTTTTTTTGAGACAGGGTCTCACTCTGTTGCCCAGGCTGGAGTGCAGTGGTGCAATCATAGCTCACTGCAGCCTCAGCCTTTCCAGGCTCAAGTGATCCTCCCGCCTTAGCCTCCCAGGTAGCTGGGACTGCAGGCATGTGCATGCCTGACCTATTTTTATTTTTTTTTCTTCTATATCATGTAGTGATGGGGTTTCACCATGTTGTCCAGGCTGATCTTGAATTCCTGGGCTCAAGTGATCTTCCTACCTTGGCCTCCCAAAGTGTTGGGATCATAGGTATGAGCCACTGTGCCTGGCCTAAAATATGATATTTTGTCTAGAAGTTTTAGTTATTTCCAGCAGTCCAGATACCTACCTTGTCATTGCCCTAGAAATGGAAGTCTATGATTTTAAATATATTTCTAAGCCTCAATGTCCTCATTTGAAAAATGAGGGCCGGGCGTGGTGGCTCAAGCCTGTAATCCCAGCACTTTGGGAGGCCGAGACGGGTGGATCACAAGGTCAGGAGATCGAGACCATCCTGGCTAACATGGGGAAACCCCGTCTCTACTGAAGAATACAAAAAACTAGCCAGGCGAGGTGGTGGGCGCCTGTAGTCCCAGCTACTTGGGAGGCTGAGGCAGGAGAATGGCATAAACCCGGGAGGCGGAGCTTGCAGTGAGCTGAGATCCGGCCACTGCACTCCAGCCTGGGCGGCAGAGCGGGACTCTGTCTCAAAAAAAAAAAAAAAAAAAAAAAAGAAAAAAAGAAAAATGAGGATAGTTTATACCTCATAGTATTGTACTATTGTGGGGAATAAGTGAGATGATTAGTGTAAAGCTCTTAATTCTGTGCCTGCACTTTAATTAATGTTTACTTATTTTTTTTTAAATGGCATTCTCAGAGTCTAAACATACATTGCTCTGTCTTGCTATATTTTTATTCATATATGGTGCACCTAATACCAAGGAAATGAAGAAGTGAATAATCTAAGGTTCTAATAAATTTTATGTTATATATATATGAGATGGAGTATTGCTCTGTTGTGCGATCTCAGCTCACTGCAGCCTCCGCCTCCTGGGTTCAAGCGATTCTCCTGCCTCAGTTTCCCAGGTAGCTGGGACTACAGGCGTGCGCCACCATGTCCAGCTAATTTTTGTATTTTTAGTAGAGACGGGGTTTCACCATGTTAGCCAGTATGGTCTTGATCTCTTGACCTCATCATCCGCCCGCCTCAGCCCAAATTCCTGGGATTACAGGCGTGAGCCACCGCTCCCGGCCTATGTTTATTATATTAAGAAACATAGTTGGCTTTTTCCATTTCATAATTTTCCATTTCCAATGCAAACCAAGTAATTAAACATCATTACTAGCCTAGATCTTAATTGAGAACATGAAATTTATTGAAGGGAAATCCTCAATTAATTTGTACATTTCTTGAGAAATGGGAAATTTGAAAATATTCCCTCCCACCATAATCAAATAAGACTCTACAGGGATAGAAAATGGATACTTTTTCTTATAATAAAGCAGGCTATGCCCTATTTTTTACTGTTTTCTATTGCCATAAAGTCAAATTGTGTGGGGTCTTTTTAAAGTCCATAGATATGTTCGCTCTAAGCAGCTGCCCTTCTCTTTGAAAACAGTTTCTATCCAGGCCCAAGTAGGCCTTGCTCAGAATCCTATGGCAGTTGACCTGAGCCTTGGGCTGTCTCAGGGACATTTCTTTAGCAGGTGCATTGTGATATTTTTCACAGCCAGCATAGTTTCTGTACAGGTGGGTTTGATGAGCATCTCTGGGAGTAAAAATCCAAAATGCCCAGTGTCACGTAGTTCGAAAGCAAATGCATAAGGTATTCCATTTTTGTAGGCCCAATCCATTGAGCTACCAGAGCTCACATCTAAAAGTTAAAACAAAAAAAAGATCAGCCTCACTAAAGAGTTGGTATAATTTTGTAAATGTATATACTGTATAGTATCTGCTTATTAAGCTTTACTAAATCCTTCCAATTAAATACTGTTTCAATAAGAATGATTTAACAGGAGCTCCTTGGCATCTGGTGCATGGAACTTATAAATCATCCCTTCAACCATCTTTAAGGATCCAGTCTACGTGTGAATGCCTTACCAGCATGAAGACCTCAAAATTTCTCAACCTCAATTCCAAAAACATTTATGTTCATCCCCACTTTATTCACCTACAAACAACCTATACTGGGAACTCTTTTTGTTTTTAGTTATCACTCAGTTCTTCTCTACTTCAATGTCTAGAATACTGAAATTGTGTTCCCAGAAACGTTTTTTTAAATTTTTTTTATTTTTTGAGATGGAGTCTCACTCTGTCACCCAGGCTGGAGTGCAGTGTCACGATCTTGGCTCACCGCAACCTCTGCCTCCTGGGTTCCAGTGATTCTCCTGCCTCAGCCTCCCAAGTATCTGGGATTACAGGGACTCACCACTATGCCCAGCTGATTTTTGTATTTGTAGTAGAGACAGGGTTTTACCATGTTGGCTATGTTGGTCTTGAACTCCTGGGCTCAATTGATCCTCCCGCCTTGGCCTCCCAAAGTGCTGGGATTACAGGTGTGAGCCACTGCTCCTGGCCCCAGAAAACCTCCTATTTCTTCCACCTCCCTGTGTTTCCACTCCGGCCTAACCTATTCTGTGCCTTTACTTAGATTGGTAGTTTCCAGATTCCTCCCTGTTTTCTTGTAGTTTCATTTGATTCTCTAGTTGGCCATGGTCATTTATTTCACTGAATTTCTCTCCAGACCCTCAACATGCCTGATTCCTGTCCTTTTTCTGCCTTTGTTTGGCTCATCCTCAATCCCTGGCCCAGTTTCTCTGCTTCCGCTAGGTGAGGGAGCTAGAGAAAGTCTTTGCTGAGCAGAGATCCTATGAAGTCACACTACCTCGTTACTGAAGTCTCTTTCTGCCCCCATGCTGCTCTAGGTTCCTTTTCTAGTTTGCTTACTGAAACTTTCCCATTCTCTTCTCATCTTCACTCTACACTGTCCCACTACTCTAGATCAGGGGTCCAAACCCCACTGGTGTGCTCTATAAGTTCCATGCATTGGTACCGGTCCGTGGCCTGTTAGAACTTGGGCTGCACAGTAGGAGGTGAGTGGTGGGTGAGCCAGTGAAGCTTCACCTGTATTTACAGCCACTCACTATCACTTGCATTACCGCCTGAGCTCTGCCTCTTATCAGATCAGTGGCAGCATTAGATTCTCATAAGAGCATGAGCCCTATCCTGAACTGCACATGTGAGGGATCTAGGTTGTGCGCTCCTTTTAAGAATCTTATGCCTGATGATCTGTCACTGTCTCCCATCACCCCTAGATGGGACTGTCTAGTTGCAGGAAAACAAGCTCAGGGCTCCCAATGATTCTACATTATGGTGAATTATATAATTATTTCATTATATATTACAATGTAATAATAATGGAAATAAAGTGCGCAACAAATGTAATGCACTTGAATCATCCCAAAACCATCCCTCCCCCACCCCACCGTTGTCTGTGGAATAACTGTCTTCCATGAAACCAGTCCCTGGTGCCAAAAAGGTTGGGGACTGCAGCTGTAGATGATTGCCCCATTGCCTCCTCTACTGACATTAGAGCCCTCTGACTTTCCCCCTTTGAGCTCAGAGGAAGAAATGCTCCCTGTCTTTCACATGTGTCACCCCTTGATACTGTTGGTTATTGAAGTCTCTGGTAGTAAAACGCCCTTTCCCATGACTTTGTGCTATTAATTATGCATCTGCACTGGTCCAAGTACTCAAGGACCCCTTTCCTACAGCACTTCCTTCACATTACCCTACCATATGCCCTTGGTTACCCTCTTCTTTTTCCTCTTTCTTTTGCTTTAGAACCCGAGGGAGAACCTATATATACTGTGTCTACATCCTCAACCACTTTCATTCTGGCTATTGCCTCTACCCGTGTATTAAACTTCCTTTTTGAAGATTACCAATGACCGCAGGTCTAGCCTCTTTTTCTGTTTTTTTGTTTTCCCCTCAGATCCCACTTTCAGTGTCTCCACAGCCTTTAACACAGCTGACAAGCCCTCTGGCTACTCTCTCCTTCTGGCTCCTGTGACCTTACACTCTTTAGCTTTTCAGCACAGAGTTGAAAGCAGGGAACTAGACGTACCCTGCAGCCTGGGCTGTATCTGATCCCACCACATAGTGGGTAACTTCTCTGTGCCTCAGTCTCCCTTTTTGAAAAAGAGACTGATGATAATACAGTACCTGCATAGCATAGGGTTGTTGGGAAAATTAAATAAAGTAATAAATCACTTGAAAGTACTCAAGATATATTAACTGTTATTATTTTGTCTCTTTATACCCCCAAGTGCATATGTAGTTTTTAGTCTAACAGGCTTTTAATAATAATTCATTAAATGATAAATGTTTCATGGAAAAACCTTTGTATACATTTTTCCTGAAATTTATATAATCCAGCTTGAGATAATCCTACTATTATTATCATTAAATTTTCAAAGCATGGTCATTTACTCAAAAAATATTGCTTTTATGCTATTTTTCCTAGGACAAGTTAGAGATGGAATTATTATTATTATTGTTATTTTTTCTTGAGCCAGAGTCTCCCTCTGTCACCCAGGCTGGAGTGCAGTGGTGCGATCTTGACACACTGCAACCTCTGTCCTCCTGGTTCAGGCGATTTTCCTGCCTCAGTCAACTAAGTAGCTGGGATTACAGGCGCCCCTCACCATACCAAGCTAATTTTTTGTAGTTTTAGTAGAGACAGGGTTTCACCATGTTGGCCAGGCTGGTCTTGAACTCCTGCTCAGGTGATCCACCCACCTCGACCTTCCAAAGTGCTGGGATTATAGGCGTGAGCCACCGTGCCAGGCCAGAGATGGAATTATTATATAAAGATGACAATTAAAATGACTGTTTCTCAGATTCCCTTTGCTTCAGTTAAGGACAGAAAATAGGCTGTGGCTTCAGTGTCCCTCTGGTTAGGGTACATTGGAACTACAAATAGTAGTCATAGTAGCCAAGTCAGAGACAACATGTGCCAACAGTTACATCATGGTGATGTGACAGCCTCATTTCTTTTTTTTTTTTGAAACGGAGTCTCGCTCTGTCACCCAGGCTGGAGCACAATGGCACCATCTTGGCTCACTGCAATCTCTACTCCTGGGGTTCAAGAGATTCTCCCGCCTCAGCCTCCCAATTAGCTGTGATTACAGGTGCTCCCTACCTCTGCTTCCCTGGTTCAAGCGATTCTCCCGCCTCAGCCAACTGAGTAGCTGGGATTACAGGCATATGCCTCCATGCCTGGCTAATTTTTGTCTTTTTAGTAGAGAAGGGGTTTTGCCATGTTGGCCAGGCTAGTCTCGAACTCCTGACCTCAGATGATGCAACTGCTTTGGCCTCCCAAAGTGCTAGGATTACAGGCATGAGCCACAGAACCCGGCCGACTACCTCATTCCTGTGGTAATAGATTGTTCTCAGTAAATGTAATACTCTGACTGTGCCTCTATACAAAGTTGAAAAGGTAAACAGTAAGATCTAAAAAAATTAATGTTTAAAAATTGTTTATATATATTATGTTGGCATTAATTGGTAATATGATTTTTAAAATACAGTTTTTTTTTCCCTTTCAAGGTGGCCACTGAAAACCAGTTCTAAAAAGGTCAACATGAGACCAATGATCATGGACTTTGAAAAAATAAATAAAACTATTGATACTCCTGACATTCTCATTATTAGAATAAACTTATTTGTCAATGTTAATTGACAAACCGAGTGTTTACTCTGAAGGCTGAAGAAAGTGAGTGGTAAAATATTAGGAATACAATGATAGGTAGATTAAAGAAGTCAAGGAGAATTTTGCTACTTAGAAGCATAATCAGATGTCACTACCTACACATATACATACAACATGTGTGTGTTTACCTTCATTTGCACACACATTCATATATACATGATTTCTTACTAGATTTTCCAAGTCATATAGTGAATACATTTTAGAGTTTAAAAGGCCCTGAATCCAATTCTTGTTACAGTTGTGGAAACTGAGGCCCAGGATTAATAAATACCTTGGCCTGGTTGACAGACCTGGCAGAATTAGGACTAGAATGCATATATTATGATTCTTTGTCTAAGTTCTTGCCATATACCCACTTGGAAGGACGTGCCATCCCTAAATAAGCCAGATCGGTATATTAATTGTTGAAAACATTGGAGATTGTAGCTACAGAAAGGGTAAGCCGACTTGTTTCTTCCTGCACGCAGCAAACAGTGAAGATTCCTCTAGGAGGGGTATTCTCACTATGAGAAGGGTGAGAAAATAGCCCTTTATCACCACAGACTTGGAATTCAAGGCTGCAGCGGGCCTAAATATACTCAACAAAGTAACCCCTATCTTCCATTGGTTTTACATACCCCCTATTTATTTCCTATTTCCCTAGAAAATTTACTGCCCTTAGCCAGATTTTTTTTTGTCCTGTTATCTATTCTCAAATTTATCATTCCTTGTCCAAAAAGTATAAAATCATCTTGCTTTGGCCACCTCTTTGGACTTCACTCTGTTGTGAAGATCCTGTACACATAGAATTAATAAAATTTGTATACTTTTCTCTTGTTTAACCTGCGTGGTGTCAATTTGGTTTCTAGATCCAGCTGCAGGGCCTACTTGGAGTGAAAGATGGGAGGTGACGGGGGATTGGAAGTGATCTCTGGCTCCACTATACATTTTTCTCCATGTAAAAAAAGAAATACTTTAAAATCACCTTTTAAGGGATAATTCAATGGAAGGTGCTACATAAGAAACAGCATTTCATAACAAGAACAGTAGCAGAAAGGAGTAAAAGGGAAGCAGTTGTAGGGCTGAAACATTTACTTCATTATCTTCCCATGGCCCACTTCCACCCTTGTAGTAGTTAGAATTGCTTAAGGAGCCCATTTTGGTATGTTCTACTGTCATAAGATCTCAACTGAGCTTGCAGTCATTACTGCACGCTTAGCATATTCTCTGCTTTGAATTTGTTTAAATGGGTAGAGTGATTTCTGTCAAGCTGTGTAAAATTAATCAGATATAAACTCCTATTTTCCTCAGCTAATTTGATAGTCAAAAATTTTACTTTAGGGAGAACACACTTTCTCCCTTCTAAAAGGAAATCATACAGGATATTGGTTCAAGAGAGAGGATTCTAATACAATGTACGCAGGAAACTTACACAATGTTGTGGAGGCTGGTCCATATCTGTATCGTACCCCATATACTGACTGAAGTGCATTCACAGCTTTATAGGCTGCAGATTCCTACGAGGGAAAATGGAGAAATTTTATATATTGTTGCATTGAAACTTTTTACATACACTGCTATGTTGTTTGAGCCTTATCGGTCATCAACAGATGGCTTCATTGGTTAAGATCTATATTCATTAATAATATTATATTACTCTTATGTCACACACTACATTTTGCGACATGTTTTAGAACACATTTCATTGATCTCACAACAAACCAGTGATCAATAATATTTCTATTTTATAGTTGAGAGAAGGAAGGCTCAGCAAGGTTAAATGGGTGTGCAGAGTGGTTGAGCTAAGTACTCACATTTTCTGAGGCTGACTTAGTGTTCTATTCTCTTCACTTTGGTTCAAGGACACCTATTTTTTCTTTCTTTTTTTTTTTTTTTTGAGACGGAGTCTCGCTCTATCGCTCACACTGGAGTGCAGTGGCGCAATTTCAGCTCACTGAAACCTCTGCCTCCCGGGTTCAAGTGATTTTCCTGCCTCAGCCTCCTGAGTCGCTGGGACTACAGGCATGTGCCACCATGCCTGGCTAATTTTTTTGTATTCTTAGTATAGGTGGAGTTTCACCATGCTAGCCAGGATGGTCTAGATCTCCTGGCCTTGTGATCGGCCCATCTTGGCCTCCCAAAGTGCTGGTATTACAGACGTGAGCCACTGCACCCGGCCAGGGACACCTATTTCTATAAGTTACAAAATACTTGGCAGGGCAGGGACCATGTCAGTCTCAGTCATAGCTCACAATCAGTACTTAGCAATATGCCTGTATACAACAGATGCTTGATCAATATTTCTTATATGAATGTTGAATAAGCATAAATCTGAAAGAGTATTAAGATAAGTATACTTTTCACTGGGTATGTACAAGGTATTTAGAACACATCTGAATCAATTAAGAAACCCTTTAATTCAGTAAGAATGACTTCTCTTACGCTATGTGCTTATCCTCACTGGGAATGGAAACAATTTTAGAATGCTCATGACTTATAAGGTTACATATGCCTCCCACAGAGGTTAGACAAGTACTGCTAAGAGGCAGAAAGTCTAAGGTGAACTTTTCCTACCAATGGAAAAAATTAGGAAAAATATTCAACACAATCGAAATACTAAAAGATGCATATTCTAACATGAACTAGAATGATACTCACTATCCTTTAAATATGGTATAAAAACACTGGTTTCAACAAGGAGTTAGAGAAGTATTATATGACAAGTGAGAGGAAAAGAAGAATGCTGAAACCAGAATACAACTCTCCCATTTCAACTTGCTTATGAATAATTTAATACTTAAATTGGAGCACTCCGGACAACATGGTGGTGTGTACTGGACTGAGTTTCAGTGTGCTGTCCTCATTCAGCTCAGAAATGCATGAGGCAGTATTTGCAGCAAATGTCACCATTTGTGGATATTCAGGGACCAGGCTCCAGAAGCTGGCAGACTATTTACTATTGATCTCACTGATGACGACATTCTTCTCATGGGAGCCAACAGAAAAGGAATATAAACACCATAATTAAATACCTTTATGGAGATTGTTCTAAGATTTTAACATCTTCTCCAATGGTCTCAGCAACATTCCATGGCAAGGACAGATATTTCTACATTTAGAAGATTATTGCACTCTGCTAGTGAGAGAACTTTGCTTCTCATTATTTAGGCTGACTAAACCCAAGGCAAACAAATCTAAAAAAAAAAAAAAATCACTTTGCCTATTTACACAAAGGAGAGGCACAGTTTTAGCCTTTTGAGCTCACTGCACCTCTGCCACTTGGGTACTGGTGCATGTTGACTAGGGTTTAGATGTGATCTCTCCACAAAAACAAAACTCCATCATTTTTTCAAAGAATTATTTTACAGGGGGCCACAGCTAGACACCTAATTGAAAGGACTTACTGAAGTGATTCCTCTTTTCTCTACTCTATCCTGTTTCCAATTGTCAAAAAGTACCTAGACATCAGTTATTGGTCCTCAGCTAAGTAAATGGTGTGTGTGTGTGTGTGTGTGTGTGTGTGTGTATGTGTGTACGTGTGTGTATATATATATATATATATTTTTTTTTTAGACAGAGTTTTGCTCTTGTCGCCCAGGCTGGAGTAAAATGGCGTGATCTTGGCTTACTGCAACCTCTGCCTACCAGGTTCAAGCGATTCTCCTGCCTCAGCTAATCCTGTAGCTGGGATTACAGGTACCCGTGACCACGCCTGGCTAATTTTTGTATTTTTAGTAGAGATGGGGTTTCACCATGTTGGCCAGGCTGGTCTCAAACTCCTGACTTCAGGTGATCTGCCTGCCTTGGCCTCCCAAAATGGTGTACATTTTTATTTAAATATTTCCATATTTAAAGCAACTTAATGACTTAAAAAACATTGCCAGAAATACTGAATCTTACATATTGATGGAATATTTTTAAACAATTTTAATCAAATTTAATGGTTTCTGCTTAACATTCAGGGACTGTCTAGTTCCTGAGAATTATAATCATGATTTTAGTGACTAAGTTTATGATTAACTCTCTCCAGGATTTCTCAACAATGGCATTGTTGACATCTTAGACTGAATAATTCTTTGCTGTGGGTTCTGTCCTGTGCACTGTAGGGTGTTTAGCAGCATCCTTGGCCTATACCTGCTAGATGCCAGTAGCATCCCCCAACCCTGTTGTGCCAATGAAACATGTCTCTAGACATTGCCAGATGTCCACGGGGAGGCAAATTCATCCTTTTTTTTTTTTTTCCTTTCTTTGAGACAGAGTCTCACTCTATCACCCAGGCCGGAGTGCAGTAGCACAACCTTAGCTTACTGTAACCTCTGCCTCCTGGACTCAAGCAATCCTCTCACCTCTGCCTCCTGAGTTGCTGGGACTACAGGTATGCACCACTATGCCTGGCTAATTTTTAAAAATATTTTGTAGAGATGAGGTCTCACTACATTAATCAGGATGTTCTTGAACTCCTAGGCCCAAGTAATCCTCCAGCCTGGGCCTCCCAAAGTGCTGGGATTACAGGCACTAATGATCTATTTTATGCCACATCTTCCAATCCAAGACAAAGGAAAATAGGCTTAACTTAAAGTGGGAAGATAAACTTAAAATACGAAGAACATTCTCCTATGATAATTTTTTTTTTTTTTTTTTTTTTTTTTTTTTTTTTTTTTTTAAGACGGAGTCTTACTCTGTTGCTCAGGCTAGAATGCAGTGGTGCTATCTCGGCTCACTGCAAACCTCCACCTCCCAGGTTCAAGTGATTATCCTGCCTCAGCCTCCCAAGTAGCTGGGACTACAGGTGTCTGCCACCAGGCCCGGCTAATTTTTATATTTTTTATTTTAGAGATGGGGTTTCACCATGTTGCCCAGGCTGCTCTCAAATTCCTGGCGGCTTGGCCTCCCAAAGTGCTGGGATTACAGGTGTCAGCCACTCTGCCCGGCCCTCATACAATAATTTTTATATATTATATAGTCCACATCATCTGCTGTATGAATACAAACAGACACAGTGCCCACGTAAGAAAAGTTGAACATTTGCCTATAGGAATACTGTGATACAAATTGTTAGGATGCCAGGTCAACACAACAACAGCTATAGCAGCAGCAGCAACAAAAACAAAGTATATTTGACCCACAGAGCAGCTAAAGAATAGCAGTATAGAATATAATTATCACTTTTACAATAGTTCTAAAGAGGGAGAATTTGCTCAGAATTCTTGGAAGGCCAAGAACAAAATTCTCTTTTTGGACAGAATAAGTCTTCCCCAGGCCCTCCTAAAGTCTTAGACATCTAGATCAGAAATTCCTAAAACCCCAAGCAATTGGTGCAGGATTTGGAGTTTAAGGTGTAGGGAGAAAGGGAATGATTCTCTTCAATAAAATTTTAAATTCAAGTATAACATTTTTATAAAAAAAATAAATATTTGGTCCTTGTCCCTGGTTCTTGGCACACAGTTTCTAAAACCTCCTGGAATCTCCAGAGTGCTAAGGGTGTCTTTTGGATGGTAATGAGATGACTTGTGGCTGGAGGTCCCTAAGTAGCTTCAGGATGCAGGGTGCTGCCAGAAAGACCAAACTTCGTGATTAGAGAGTTAGAACTTTTAGCTCCATCCTTCACCCTCTGAGGAGAAGAGAGGGGCCAGAGATTGAGTAAAAACTCCAATGGCTAATGACTTAATCAATTAGACCTCCATAATGAAATCGCCATGAATACCCCTAAACAGCGGGATTTGGAGAGCATTTGGGTTAATGAGCACTTGATGTGCTGGGAGGTTGATGCACCCAGAGAAGGCACAGAAGCCCTGAGCCCCTTCCCCCGTACCTTGGCTTATGCATCTCTTCCATTTGGCGGTTCCTGAGTTGTGTGATTGATGGATTGAGAAGATAGGGTCTCACTCTGTCTCCGTGGCTGCAGGGCAGTGGCATGAACATGACTCACTGCAACCCTGACCTCCTGAGCTCAAGTGATCCTCCTGTTCCAGCCTCCTGAGTAGCTGGGACCACAGGTATGTGGCACCACCATGCCTGGCTAATTTTTAATTTTTTTGTAGAGATGGGGGTCTCACCATGTTGTGCAGGCTGGTCTCAAATGTCTGGGCTCAAATGATACACCTGCCTGGGCCTTCCAAAGTACTGGGATTATAGGAGTGAGCCACTGTATCCAGCCAATTGTGTATCTTAAAAAAACCGGTGATAGTATGTAAAGCTCTTTCCTGAGCTCTGTGAGTCATTCTAGTGAATTATCAAATGAGAGGTGGGCTGGTAGGAACCTGCAATTCTGCAGCCAAGTCAGACAGGAATGTGGTTAACTTGGGAACCCCCTACTTGCTACTGGTGACTGAAGTGAGGGCAGTCGTGTGGGACTGAGTCCTTAAACCTGTGGAGTCTGATGCTAACTCTGGGTAGTGAGTGACCAAATGGAATTGAATTGTTGGACACCCAAGTGGTGTTGGAGAAGTGGTACTGGAAAAAGACATTACACATTTGGTGTCAAGAGGCCAAAAAAGCCCTAAAATATACATGTAGAAGAGTACACCGTTTTTGAGTTGATTGCTCGACAAATGATCACAAATTGAACACATTCATGTAACCACCACCCAGGTCAAGGAATAGAACTTCAGCAGCAACCCAATTTCCTCCCAATCACTGTACCCCCTCCTTTTTCCCCAAAGGTAAGTGCCACCTGACTTCTAGCACTGTATATTAGTTTTTCTTGGTTTTTGAACTTCATAGGCTTTTAGATGCTATAGGCTCTGAAATGACTCACTTAGTGATGAATGATGCCCCATAGTGAACAGCTTGTTGGGTTTCTGATATAAGGAGAGAAAGAAACTCTGCTTTTTCATTTTTAAGTAATCTTAAGCCTGAAAGTCTGTTCATTCTGTTAGACAAGTACTAACTTGTCAGATACATACCCAAAGACTTAGTAGCATTAAGCAAACAGCACTTATAAATTAAAACCTGCTTTTAACTAATGAGAGTCAATCTATAATTTATGAACAATCGTTTACTCAATAAAGTTAATTACAGCCTTGCATACATGACCAGAGCTATGATACTAATCAAATCCACCCTGACATTTTCTGTGTAACCTGTGGTAAGAATACAAATAGGTTTGAAAGGATTGTATTTGAGAAGCAGCACTACGGTTAAAAGCAACAGCTATGGAACTAGAGTTGGGGCTGAATCCTGGCTATGAGACTTAGTAGTTGTGTGTTCTCCATCTAATTACTTAATCTCTTAGCTTCTAGCTTCTTTATCTATAAAGTGGGGATAATAAAAGCTGCCTCATATGATTGTTATGAAGAATAAATGAATCAATACATGTAAAATACTTATTAGGATAACACAAACATTTGTTTGCCATTATCATTAGTACTTAGAACCATCTTAGCTTCAGAAAAGCAGCATGAAGCCTGATGCACATGCACAGGGTCAAATACTTACCACACAGCTAAAATTGGGAATTGTTGCATATTTGTAAGAATAGGGATACAGCAACATCTGAGCATATGCATGAAAGGAGAGATAAGCCCTAATGTGCTTTCTGTGTTTTCGAAGGAAGTTAGCTACAGCCTTCACTTCTGGCTCAGATTCTGGAAAAGGGCCACAGTATGTATCGTCACAAGGGTGCATAGAAGCTCCTTCATCTGCAAGTCAGAAAAGAAAATGGGGTAAGGAAGTAGGCAGAGAAGAAACAAGAAACACAAATCAGCACTGTTAAGCTGTGATTTTGCTTTTATTTCTGCAAACATATGGTATTATTAAGCAATTCATCTAACTTCTCATTTATGGAAATCAATACAAAAGTTCCAAGGTGACTCAAGTTCCCATGCACAATAGGAGGGCCTGAATGGAAACCAGGTACTGATTTTTCAAGTTTGAACCTGCACAAACTACTCTAAAGAAATTGTTCTATCAGCTGTCACTTCTAGCTGCACCTAGCAACTTGAACAATAGTACAGCAAGTGTTCAACAAATATTTGTTGAATAAGTTAATGTCAATTAGAAAGAAAAGGCTAGACATATGTAAAGGTATCTGATAAGATACAAATACTGATATAGCAAGGACATAAAGACAGGCCAGAAATAATTTCACCAATTTCTATTATACTTTTAGAACAGCACTATCCAAACTAGTTTTGTAAAACCAGGAGGCTTTTCTAGTTATCTTGGTTAGAGTTTAGTTATGAAATCTTCAAAACAAAATTTTAATAACTTTTGAATTAAAAGTCAAATTATATAGCGTATACTTAAGAGGTCCAAGGAAGGAAGGAAGGAAAATAAGAATCACTAGAACAATCACAAAGTATTACGGTTCTAAGAAAATTTGGAAATAATTACATTTTCCATAGTTATTTGCCATATGAGGCCACTAATGTCTCTTCCCTACCTCTAGAAAATGGTAATTCTCTCCACAAACTAGTAGAAAATGTTTGGTGGTTCTGTGATGTAGTCAAATTCTACTGAACATAAAAAGACAGCCCAGTCAAATTGGGCTACATCTTGAGGACCATAAGTGTAGTTTATGCTGCAGTGAAGACAAGAGTCAAGATGGGGAACTTACAGCAATTGGGGTTTTCCTCCTTTGAATCTCATCCTGGAGATGCCTCAGAAGCAAGTGGGCTATAGGTGGAACTCAGAATGTAACATAAAAACTATAGCTGGGCAGGGTGTGGTGGCTTAGGCTTGTAATCCCAGCACTTTGGGAGGCTGAGGCGGGTGGATCACAAAGTCAGGAGACCATCCTGGCTAACACGGTGAAACCCCATGTCTACTAAAAATACAAAAAAATTAGTCGGGCATGGTGGCGGGCACCTGTAGTCCCAGCTACTCAGGAGGCTGAGGCAGGAGAATGGTGTGAACCCAGGAGGCGGACTTGCAGTGAGCGGAGCTTGCACCATTGCACTCCAGCCTGGGCTACAGAGAAGACTCCGTCTCAAAACAAAACAAAACAAAAAAAAACTATAGCTGATACTCTGGAGGGAATGGAAAAAAATAAAGAGAGATCTGTGGAATACAGACCCAAAGCACTGGAAAGGCAAGATCACAAACTAAACAACTAATTCTGGAGGGAGCAGAACCGATGAGCCAGAGAAAACAAGAATTTACAATAATCCTAATAAATATTCTCAAGGGCATGTAGGAGGGCACTGGAAACAAATAGGGACAAGGAGTTATAAAAAAAGGACCAATCAGATATAGTAGAAACAAACTATTTAATTCAGGGTTGAATGAATACAGTTGATGAATGAATTAATAAGACGGAGAGTGGTTTGAAACATTCCCAGAAGGCATTGGGAAGAGTAAAGAATAGGAAAAATGAGAGAAAAATGAAAGGGCATGAAAAATAAAACAAATATCAATATGTGATTAATGGGAGCCTTAGAACGAAAGGAAAAAATAAAGTTAAATATTTGAAGAACTGCTAATTAAAATTTTTCCACAATTTTTTTTTTTGTGTGGGGGGGATGGAGTCTCACTTTGTCACTCAGGCTGGCATGCAGTGGTGCAATCTCAGCTCACTGCAACCTCTGCCTCCTTGGGTTCAAGTGATTCTCTTGCCTCAGCCTCCTGAGTACCTGAGATTACAGATGCCCTGCCACCACACCTGGCTAATTTTTGTATTTTGGGGGGAGACGGGGTTCCACCATGTTGGCCAGGCTGGTCTTGAACTCCTGACCTCAAGTGATCTGCCCGCCTTGGCCTCTGAAAGTGCTGGGATTACAGGCATGAGCCACCATGCCCAGCTAAAAACGTCTCCACAATTAAGGAAAGATTGAACAGACTTATTGTGCACCAAACAAAAGAGATAGAGAGGAAAATATCAACACTTTGACAAATTATAGTGAAATTTAAGAAAAGAAAACAATTCTAGAGAGAAAAAGCAGGTCATTTAGAAAGGAACAAGAATTCCATTCACATTTGACTTTTCAACAGCAACATTAAAGTAATAAATCCAATGTATTTATTAAAAAGGAATTTTGAATCTAGGCTTCTATATCTAGAAGCCTAGAATCCAGTCAGCTGGATTCTCACTGCAATGTGAGAGTGAAATAACGATGTTCTCTAGCATCTAAAAGGCCTCAAAAGAATATACCATACACTGACATACTTTGAAAACACCCCTGAAGAAAGTATTCCAACAAAATAATGAGTAACTCCAGAGAGCCTATCTGGTATGAGAATTGCAGGTTAATAAGTAGCTTAGTAACATCTGCTATCTAAATAAGCAATATTGAAAGGGTGGAGGGGTGGGAAGTATAATGATCTAGGTATCAAATCCTAGGAAACAACAAATTGATGGAAAAATAAAGAGGGGGGTGGGCAGGGAAGCCAAAAGCATGCTAGATTGTTGGTCTATTTTGAAAAGGAGATATAGATACTGATTAAATTTAGAAATTGATGGGAAAAAACAAACCTAAGTATGGGTATTAAGTTAGGAATAACCACCAGAATCAGAAAAATAGCACACAGACTTCATAACTAATGGAATTAACTTTGAACCATTTAATTGAAGGTAGTAAAGAAGGAAAAAAGAAAAAAGAAGAAACAGGGCCAGCTGCAATGGCTTACACCTTAATCCCAGCACTTTGGGAGGCCAAGGTTGGAGGACTGCTTGAGATCAGGAATTTGAGACCAGCCTGGCCAACACAGTGAGATCCCATCTCTACAAAAATTAAAAAAAGTTAGCCAGGTATGGTGGCACACACCATAGTAGTCCTAGCTACTCGAAAGGCAGAGGCAGGATCGCCTGAGCCCAGGAGTTCGAAGTTACAGTGAGTTGTGATGGTGACATTGCACTCTAGTCTGGGTGACAGAGCAATACTGTGTCTTAAAAGAAAAGAGGCTGAGTGTGGTGGCTCATGCGTGTAATCCCAGCACTTTGGGAGCCAGGGCAGGTGGATCACCTGAGGTAAGGAGCTTGAGACCTGCCTGGCCAACATGGTGAAACCCCATTTCTACTAAAAATACAAAAAAATTAGCCAGGTGTGGTGGTGCATGTCTGTAATTCCAGTTATTTGGAAGGCTGAGGCAGGAGAATCACTTGAACCCGGGAGGCAGAAGTTTAAGTGAACTGAGATCACACCATTGCACTCCAGCCTGGGTGACAAGAGCGAGACTCCATCTCAAAAAAAAAGAAAGAAAAGAAACACTGGAAAACAGAGAACAGGAATACAGGAATTAAGACAGCAGAAATAAGTCTTAAAGTAAAAGTGATTATGAAGAATGCTAATAGGTGAACTACTTGATCAAATGACTGATTTTATTTTATTTATTTTTTACCTCCAATCCTGCAGAAAATGATTTAAAAATTATTTTTAATAGAGGTGAGGTCTTGCTATGTTGCCCAGGCTGGTGTTGAATTCCTGAGCTCAAGCAATCCTTCCACCCTGGATTCCCAAAATACTGAGATTACAGGCATGAGCCATAGTGCCTGGCCTGATGTTTTCATATAGAAAAATAAAGAAGATCCATAGAAAAACATGTGGTGTAAGTAGATATACCAGATGTCTACTTTTAGTACTGGGGCAGCCTTGGTATTTGTATTAGTTTCCTAAGGCTGCCATAACACATTACTACAAAGTAAGCCACTTAAAATAACAGAAATTTATTCTCTTACAGTTCTTGAGGCTAAAAGTCTGAAATCAAGGTGTCAGCAGAGCCATCTACCTTCTGAATTCTCTATGGAAGAATCCTTCCTTGCTTCTTCCTAGCTTCTGGTGGTTCTTGGCAATCCTTGGCATTTCTTGGTTTGTGGATGCATTCCAGCCATGTATCACTTAAAGAAAGACATGCCAGGTATGGTGGCTCACGCCTGTAATCACAACACTTTGGGAGGCTGAGGTGGGTGGATCACTTGAGGTCAGGAGTTTGAGACCAGGCTGGCCAACATGGTGAAACTCTGTCTCTACTGAAAATACAAAAATTGGCTGGGCGTGGTGGCATGCACCTGTAATCTCAGTTACTCAGGAGGCTGAGGCGTGAGAATTGCCTGAACCCAGGGGGTGGAGTTTGCAGTGAGCAAGATCATGCCACTGTACTCCAGCCTGGGTGACAGAGAAAGACCCTATCTCAAAAACAAATAAATAAATAAAAAATAATATGTTCTGAGAAATACATCATTAGAAAATTTCAACAGTGAGCGAACATCATAGAATGTACTTATGCAAATGTAGATGGTGTAGCCCATTGCTCTAGGCTGTAAACCTATACAGTATATCATTCTACTGAATACTGTAGGCAATTATAACAAGATGATAAATATTTGTGTATCTAAACATGGAAACAGTGGAGCAAAAATTCAGTATTATAATCTTATGGGACCTCTGTCATATATACAATCACTGTTGACTAAAACATTGTCATGTGGTGCATGACTGTACTCCAGTCTCTTCTTGTATGTTCACATGGCTTTCTTCCCTGTGTTTCTCTATGTGTCCTCTCTTCTTCTTATAAGGACAACTCACTGAATTTAACTAATTACTTCCACAAATAACCTTTTTCCAAATAAGATCATATTCCAAGGTTTCAGTGGACATGAATTTGTGGGGAACACTATCCCACCACAGTTTTGAGGAATTATCCTGTTGCAGAAAAACTAGATCCTGCATAGGATACTTTCTCTGAGACACTGTTTTTCTTTTTT